TTTTTTTTTTTTTTCAGACAATCAGGAGATTCTACCGATGCTTCGAGTTTTATCGCTAGGGCGGAAAATTATGCATAAAATGCCGGCTGTTATATTGAAAAATTTCGCCGAATTAATCCTATCGCTGCTATCGGTACCAAATTCCGACCTGAGATGTTGCATTTATCAGTGTTTCTATCGAATTCTTCAGCAACAGCCGGCCGATACAACACTGTCATTTGATACGAATGTGCATCTGATCGTTGCACTACGTGAACTGGTACCATCAGTTCCGGATCCCGCTGTTACAGCATTCTGGATTCAGGTATGTGTGAATTGTTTGCTTGATTATGTTTCATTATAGTCCCATACAAAAATTTTGTTCTTTTTTATAAAAATTCGGTTTTTTTTTTAAAAAAATTCTTTTCGCTGTTGCATTGGCGAAGTTAAACTTTCGATTAGTGTATGAACAAATTACTTGGCACCGTGCCAAATGCAATTTGAGAAAAAAATGATGTGCTTTTTTTGTTTGAATTAAAGTAACATTTGATTTTCACAAAAAAAAGTGCATTATGTTTTTATACAACTTTTTTTTTGAGCCATACCTCTCGAGCACTTTTTTTTTCTTGAAACGATGAAATTTCAGGCTCTGTGTGAATCGCATGTATGCCTTGCTGCAAAGGATCTGCCGAATTCCATGAAGTTGCTGAGGCCTTCGCTAGAATTAATTATTCAGACTTTTGAATTAGGAATTGAATCTGTTGCCAAGGTAATTATGATATTCACTATGAAGTTAGAAAAGTTTTGGAGGCAAAAAAAGCCTGTATATTTTTTTTTTTTGGATAAATTTTTCAGTGGAAAAAAAAAATCAATCTTACGATTAGAAACACCTTTTTGGCAAATTTGTATTGATGTATATCAGCGAGTTAAAACCCCGATCAGCTCTAGGTAGTCCTCGAAAGGATGAGTCATCGACAGAGGTTGTACTGATGATTCCCACTCCTGGCTGCATTCGCTGCACCGTCTGTGTTTACAGCTAAGGGATGAAACAGTGACTTTTTATTTTTTTATGTGCTACATGTGTCATCTGGCACATATTTATTAGTTTACAGCTTTTTTGTGCTGAGCCCACTGGTCGTACGATCGATGGGGGCCGAGCTGGCCGTAGCCCCATTTCCCGGGTCAGCCCTATGGACTGTTTCGGCCGCGTTAGTTAGGGCCGCATTGTCGCCGTCTGGGAGATCCCGTGCGCGTCGGGATCTCATTTCTTTTTTGATTAAACCCCACCGGTATTGCAGGGTTGCCTTAGTACGGGGCCGGTGAATGGCTTCGTATCGCATAGCGACTTCTTGCCATTTTATCAACCG